AAGGTTGGGCAATCCTACTTCCATAGTGATACTGCCTCGGAAACCCAAGGAAGGGTCGCTATGAGTCAGGGCTGACTTGACGGCACATAACAACAACAAATATATATATATATATGACAGACTTGGAAGAAGGAAGAGGCCATCCACTTCTCAAAGAACTGGCCAAAGAAAACCGTATGAATAGGAGTGAAACACTGTCTAATATATTACTGGAAGACATCATGAATAGCCCTGAAACACTGTCCGTTATAGTGCCAGATGATGAACCCATCAGGTCGGAAAGCAATCAAAGTACGACTGAGGGAGTGCTGTTTCCTCAAAGTAGAGTTGACCTTAATGATGTGGATGAACTAAAGCTTTTGGGACCTCCATTTGCTGATGTGGCACAACTCAAGATAGGAATAAACAGCTGCAGACATCCATTAATAAATGGAACATGGAATGTACAAAGTGTGAATCTAGGAAAATTGGAAGTTGTCAAAAATGAAATGGAACACATAAAGATCAATATCTGATCTGGACTGGTTTTGGTGATTTTGAATTGGAAAACTGTATGGTCTGCTATTCCGGGTATGACAAATTGAGGAGAAATGGTGTGGCATTCATTGTCACAAAAAATTTTTCAAGATCTATCCTGAAGTACAATGCTGTCAATGATTGGAAAATATCCATACTTCTGCCAGGAAGACTAGTTAATACTACTACTATTCAAATTTTCCCACCAACCACCAAAGCCAAAGATGAGGAAATTGAAGATTTTATCAACCTCTGCAATTTGAAAATGACCAAACATGCAAACCAGATGTATTGATTATTATAAATGATTGGAATGCAAAAGTTGGAAACATAGAAGAATCACCAGTAGTTGGTAAATGTAGCCTTGGTGACAGAAATGATGATGGAGATTGCATGATGGAATTTTTCAAGACCAACAACTTACTTACTGCAAATACCTTTTTCCAACAACTTAAACCATGGCTATACAAGTTGTCTTCACCAGATGGAATGCACAGGAATCAGATAAGCTACCTCTTTGGAAAGCAGTGATGGAGAAGTTCAATATCTTCAGCCAAAACAAGGCCAGGAGCTGACTGTGGAGCAGACCACAACTGCTCATATGCAAGTTCAAATTGAAGCTGAAGACAAAACAAGTCCACAAGAGCTAAAATATGACCTTGATTATATCCCACCTGAAGAATAGGTTTGACTGATTGAACACCAATGACCAAAAACCAGAGGAATTGTGGGATGACATCAAGAACATCATCCATGAAGAAAGCAAAAGGTCATTAAAAAGACAGGAAAGGAAGAAAAGACCACAATGGATGTCTGAAGAGACTCTGAAATTTACTCTTAAACATAGATTAGCTAAAGCAAATCTCTTTTCTTGTCTTGAAAAGACAAGAGAAAGAGCTGAACAGAAGATTTCAAAGAGCAGACTGAGAAGATAAAGTCAGTTATTACAATGAAATGTGCAAAGACCTGGAGTTAGAAAACTAAAAGGGAAGAACACACTCAGCATTTCTCAAGCTGAAAGAACTGAAGAAAAATATATAAGCCATAAGTTGCAATATTGAAATATTCTATGGGCAAAATATCGACTGAAGTAGGAAGCATTAAAAGAAGATGGAAGGAATACAGAATCACTGTAGTTGAAACCCACCAGACACTCCTTGGAGTGTCTCCTTGGAAGGAAGGTTTGGCAATCTACTTCTGTAGTGATACTGCCTTGGAAACCCAAGGTGGGGTCGCTATGAGTCAGATCCAACTCAGGGGCCGTAAGTTTTTGAGTTTTGAGAATACCAAAAATAATTGGTTGATATTCATCTATCTCAGGAGGTGATGTATGATCAAGAACCAATGGTAATGAAGGGAGAAGTTGAAGCTGCACTGAAGGAATTGGTGATCAAGGCTCCAGGAATTGAAGGAATACCCACTGAGATGTTTCAACAAATGAATGATGTGCTGGAGGCACTCACTTGGCCTATGCCAAGAGACTTGGAAGACAGGTACCTGGCCAACTGACTGGAAGAGATCCATATTTGTGCCCATTCCAAAGAAAGGTGATCCTGAGTGTGTTAGTTACTCTCTGTTCAAGAGCAAGTTTCAGAGTCCCTTCTGACATCCATGTTGGTGTTTTCTTCCTTTCCTGTCTTTTAAATGACCTTTTGCTTTATGTATGTTGTTCTTCATGTCATCCCACAGTTCATCTGGTTTTCAGTCATTGGTGTTCACAAAGCCCATAGTTTCCAACTACTGGTGATTCTTCCTTGTTTTCGACTTTTGCATTCCAATCACCAACAATAATCAACACATCTTGATTGCATGTTTGGTCAATTTCAGACTGTGAAAGTTGGTAAAAATCCTCAGTTTTCTCATCTTTGGCTTTGGTAGTTGATGTGTAAATTTGAGTAATAGTATTAGCTGGTCTTCCTTCTTGTTGTTGTTAGATATCGTTGAGTCAGCTCTGACTCAGAGCAACCCTGTGTAGAACAGGACAAAACACTGCCTGGTCCTGTGTCACCCTCACAATCCTTTCTATACCTGAGCCCACTGTTGTAGCCTCTGTGTCAATCTGTCTCATTGAGGGGCTTCCCCTTTTTCATTGACCCTCCACTTTACCAAACATGATATCCTTCTGCAGGGAATGGTCCCTTCTGGCAACATGACCAAAGTAGGTGAGAAGAAGTCTGGCCATTCTAGCTTCCAAGGAGCATTCTGGCTGCACTTCTTCCAGCACAGATTTGTTAGTTCTTCTGGACTTGTTAGTTCTTTTGGCAGTCCATAGTACTTTCAACATTCTTCGCCAACACCACAACTCAAAAGCATCGACTCTTCTTCGGTCTTCCTTATTCATTGTCAAGCTTTCACATGCATATGAGTTGATTGAAAACACCATGGCTTGAATTAGGTGCATCTTAGTCTTCAGAGAGGCATCTTTGCTCTTCAGCACTTTAAAGAAATCTTTTGCAGCAGATATGCCCAGTGCCATACGTTGTCTGATTTCTTGACTGCTGCTTGGCTAAGATCAAGTGTAGTGTATGTGTCTGACTTGTATGCATGTGGATATTATCCTATCATTGATAGCATTCTACTTCAGGACAGATCTTGAAACATTTTTTGTGATGGTGAATGCAACACCATTCCTCTCCAATTTGTCATTCCCAGCATAGTAGATCATATTGTCTAATTCAGAATGGCCCAAACCAGTCCATTTCAGCTCAGTAATGCCTGGGATATTGACCTTTATGCATTTTGACAACTTGCAATTTTCCTGGATTCATACTTCCTGCTTTCCGTGTTTCAGTTATTAATGGATGTTTGCAGCTGTTCTTCCCATTGGATCATGCCACATCAGCAAATGGAGGTTCTGAAAGCTTTACTCCATCCACATTGTTACTGTTGACTCTACTCTAAGGAGGGAGCTCTTCCCAGTCATATTTTGAATGCCTTTCAACCTGAGGGGCTCACCTTCCAGAACTATATTGGACAATGTTTCAGGGCTATTCATTAAGTTTTCTAGTAGTATATCAGACAGTGTTCCACTGCTATTCATAAGGTTCCCACTGGCCAATTCTATGAGTCCCCTTTCTTCTTCTGAGTTTGTCTTAGTCTGGAAGCTCCGCTGAAACCTGTCCACCATGGATGATCCTGCTGGCATTTGAAATACTGGTGGCATAGCCTCCAGGCTCACAGCAACATGCAAACCACCACAGTATGACAAACTGATAGATGAGTGGAGGGCAAAATGTATGTTGATGACTTATTTTTTTCAAAACTTTAATTCACCCTCTCCCAATCACTAATTCTTCTCCTCAGGTTGTCATTTCAGGTTCTGAAAAGTTAATGCAGACCTCCTAATTCTATTAATTAGGCTTTCACCTATTTGGAAATAGCAACTTTTTCTCAAGTAGTTTTCTTAAATCTTAAAAATTCATCCTTGATTTTAAAATCCCACATGATTACTAGTGGCACACCCTTCTCCTTTATAGCCAAGTTTCTGGAAAGAATCCTTTATATTCAGTATCTGTATTTCTCATTCCCTTGGTTTTTGTCCAACTAAGGAAACTATTCTAATCAAGATCGTTGTTTTGGTCATGTAATGCTTCTTAACAAACCACACTAAAACTTAGTTGCTTAAAGCAGTAACAGCCATCTATTTTCTCTCATTCTGGGGTGACAGGGCTTAGCTGGGTAGTCCTTCTGCGTCATATGGTTTTGGCTGTCTTGTAATAATCTGTAGGCATGGCTAGATCATAATCTCCAACGTGGCTTATTCGTGTGGTTGGACATTGGTGATGGGTGGTGGCAAGGAACTGAGCTGGGGCTGTTGACCAGATTGCCTCGCTTCTCTCCTTGTGGGTTCTGAGGGAACATTCCAAGTTGAACACAGAAGGTGAAGAGCTCTTAAGGACTAACCTAGAAAGTTTCAGTGTCACTCCCCTTTGTTCTATTTAGCACATTCAAAAGGTGAGGACATACATCTCTTGATAGAGTAGTGGTAAAGTCACATTGTGAAAAACAAGAAACAAAAAACAAAAACAACACTTAGGATGTTGCAGCCATTTTGGGAATGCAGTCTATCACAGTCATGAAGGATAATTGTGATTGACCAAACCATCCCTTTATAACGCTCGGCCCGGTTGGCCACGGCCAGTGCTTTGTTGATCTGCTGCCTCCTGGCTTCCTTTCTCACTTTTTACTGCTCATCTGCAGCCCTCTCCATTTGCTGTTTTTTTTTTTTCTCTCATTGCTCCTGGGATATTGATGTCCTCCAAGGTTTTTGACCTTCCTCTCTTTTCATTCTTCATATTTTTATTAATCATTAATATCTATACTTATAATTTAAACTTTGATTGACTGATTCATTTGACATCTATTTGTTGAATAGCTATTATGTGTTGCATGAAGGACTTGACAAAGTTGTGATAGTTGTGCATTGCAAAACCCCAGAGTATATCATTCGCATTAAGGCTTTCATCTTGACAGTCTTAGTTTTCTGCGTTTATGTCTATGTCTGTATCTAGGTGTGTCTGTGTCTATTCCTATGTCTGTATCATCCCAGTGATTCTCAGTTGGTGGAGGGGATGATTTTGCCTCAGCAGCTACTCCTTTTTTTTTTTTTTTTTAGTCATGGGAACCATATTTTCCCATATGTCTCTCTAGTTCTCTTTAGTTCAGCCACCCTGTCTGTCTTTTGGTTTCCAGAATGTGCTACGTCCTTTCATAGCCCTGCATGTACAAAAATGCCTCTATGCCAGGGAGTGTGGCCATCCCTCCTTCAACTCTAGGCTGAGCCACCCACCTGAAAGGTTTCCTGCAACCTCTACCCCTCCACTTCCAACCCTGACTGGGGGATCATTCTCAATGCCCCTTCTCCAGAGTCCCATAATATCTTGCCTTCATGCCATTTCATCACATTTACCTTTTCTGCTCATTTTCTCCCAGTTAGGCCCTGAGGAGTTTTTTTAGGTTACTGAGTAGAATTAGCCTCTGTCTAGTTAATCTCTCCAGTGCTGGCAAATATTTGGAGTTTAATAACTATTTGTTGAATAAAAGGAGATTCAGAGGGGTCATCATTCCTCTTCCCAGTAGGAATACGTGGTTGGGATTAAAGGTAATGCACTTAATTCAGTAAATGGTATAGAAGCAGAATGTCCACCAGGCACAAAATGGTGAAGAAATGGTAATACATGCATATTGTGAAACATTTAAGCTGCTACACAGGTTGAAATACTATGCATCAAACTGGAAAAAACTGTGATGTATTAAAGGAAAAAAATGCATGAAAAAATTTTATAGCAAAAGATAAATGTAGATGTGTATATATGTTTAGGAGCTATGGTGGCATAGTACCTAAGGCATCTGATTGCTAACCAGAAGGCTGGCGGTTCAAACCCACCAGCCACTCCTCGGAAGGAAGACTGGGCAATCTACTTCCTTAGTGATACTCCCTCAGAAACCCAAGGAGGGGTCGTTATGAGTTGGAACCGATTTGATGGCAGTGAGTTTATATATGCTTATATACATAGGAAATGATATAGAGAGATATGCTGCAACTGCCAACATTGGTTATGTCAAGCATGGATTAATATTGTACTTAATAATTTATAGTGAAAAAGTTCACAGAAATTAGTTTCAAAGCCAGGTAAGAACGTGTAGACAAGCATTAAAGATAGACAATAGTGTACAAGGCTTAGGAAACTTTAATGGCTTAGGAAGATGTTTACAAAAATGGGTATCTCTGTTTGCATGTGTGTGTTGAATACATATATATGCCTGGAAATGTAAATATTTAGGACAAAGTATTAACAGTAATAATATCTGGATGGCAGAGGATTTTTTATTTATTCTTTTGGCTTATCTGTATTTTGCAATTTTAAAACAATAGGTGCTTCTTATTTTCACAATATAAGTAACACTATTTCTCAAAATAAACACCAGTAGATAAAAACCAGGGCCATTTAACTATATCTCAATATCCCAGACTTGAAAAGACATCAATCATATGGAATTATTACAAAATGAATCCATTTGCGAACAGCAGGTCCCAAGAGGTTTCTATTCCTTTCTTTTAGCAAAGACTGAAGGAAGAGAAGGAAGCCAAGCGGGCTCATTTGGATGCCAGGCACAACTACTTGTTTGCGATCGTGGCTTCCTGCGTGGACCTGAACAAAGCAGAAGTGGAGGACGCCATTCTTGAGGGGAATCAGGTGAGATGCATTTGGGGTCTCACTGATGGAGGACACAGAACGCGTGGATGCTGCCCTATGGCAGGACCTATGCTGTATCCTAGAGGCTTATAGATGTATTTGTCTGTGTCTGTGTATGTGTGCACATATGTATGTGTGTATGTATGTGTGTAGGACCTCTGGTGGCATAGTGCCTAAGGCATTTGACTGCTAACCAGAAGGCTGGCGATGCAAACCCACCAGCCATTCCTCGGAAGGAAGTTTGGGCAACCTACGTCCATTGTGATACTGCCTCAGAAACCCAAGGTGGTGTTGCTATGAGTCAGATCCAACATGACGGCAGAGTTATGTATCTATCTATCGGTCCATGCATCCATCCATCTATCTGTCTATCTATCTGTCATTTTTTAACATGGACAGGACTACATTCTGACTCTGTACCAGTGGTGGTAGGATGAGCTTAGTGCTTACCAGTTGCCTGTTGAGTGGGGGAACTTAAAATTGTCATTTGAGTTCCATGATTCTGACAGTGCTGTCTGTCATCCAAGGAGCTCCATTTCATGGAGCTGTGCTTAGGTGCCATTGTGGAACCTGTGGTTGGGGAACAGACTTAGCATTTACCTGTTCTAACCTTGGAGCCTCAGTCATATTGTAGATTGCTGGCTTTGACTTTGGTCCGAAGCCGAATCTGATTGATTTTGTTCCTCATCTTGACTTCATTTTCTGCCCTGTGTTGTCCCAAAACCAGGGGTCTGATTTGCTTGGTGGTTTAACCTTGGATTGGGGAAGTCACAATATAGAAGACATAATTTCTTGAGCAATAAGAAAGCCATATTGGAACCCTGTGATCATTCCTGAATTTTTAAAAAACGTTATGCAGCATATAAAAAAAGAAAGAAGAAAGCCATTCTTGTTCACTGGGGAGCTCCGCTGCTACTACTGCTTTTCAGTGGGAGGCTGCTAACTGTTGAACAGCAAGCTCTGGGCTAGGATTAGGGCACTGGTTTTTAGTGTTTGCTGACTTCTGTAGATAATTGTCACTCCTTGGCTGATTTCAGCTGACCAACATGGTGTCACTGAACATGGAGTTGAGAAGAATATACAATTGGCTTGGTTCCTTCCTTTTGGGCCATTCTGGGTGGGTTAAATAAGAATCAGTGGAACCATTAAGGGTGGATAACTATAGGATGAATCAATGGAGAACTGAGGAATTTTCCTTTTCTTTCGTCATTACTAATGTTAATCAAACGTTTGCCATATTTCAGTCCTTGTTCGAAGTGATTGATCTATATCCATTCACTTAGTCACCTCGATACCAGGAGGCAGATACTGCTGTTGTTTGTTATTGTTAGATGCCTTTGAGTTGGTTACAACTCATAGTGGTCCTGTGTACAACAGAACGAAATGCTGCCTGTCCTGAGCTGTCCTCACAAATCTTTGCAGAGTTTGAGCTCATTGTTGCAGCCACTTTGTCAATCCATCTTGTTGAGGATCTTCCTCTTTTTTCACTGACCTACTTTCAAGCAAAATGTCCTTCTCCAGAGACTGGTTTTGTTATATGTGGAGTCTCTGTATGTTGGGACTGACGTGACAGCACCTAACAACAACAACAGTTCTATCAAAGCTGATTTCAAAGAAGTTTCTGATTTAGAACAGAGTCATTAATTTACCTTTTCTATTCCTTAGATTGAGAGAATTGATCAGCTTTTTGTTGCTGGTGGTCTCCGTCACCTTATGTTTTACTACCAGGATGTGGAAGCAGCAGAAACAGGTATCTGAATTTGATGTAACATAAACCAGAAATGTGTGGTTAGAGTTATCTTTGAGAGGCATGAAGAACAAGGCTACTGGGAAAATTGACCAGGCTCTTACATTTCACCTTGTCAGACGTGGTGGGAAACAGTCAGATACAATCAATGAGTGTGGCTTGATGGAAGCTGCTGTATTACCAACCTAAGAGGTTGGATAATGGTGGATATTTAGCTTAACTTTATTTGGGATGTTTGGTTTTCCTTATCACACTGCACTGGCAGTGGGGGAATAGGATATGGTTTACATTTTGAGGCCTCCTTTTATTAGTTATTAGTTCATTCTATGTAATTATATTCTAAAATTTCTTATGAGCATCTGTTTCTTGTCTATATAGTCATAATTTTTTTCAACATAGGAATTATTGACAATAAGCGTAACTCTGCTTTTCCAGTTAAATATCACATTCTGTTTGTTTGACTGTGATTTAAATTGATAATTCAATAACAGGTTTATTCATTTTCACTTAAAAAACATTTGCATGTCTTTGTGTGGGTTCAACTGACATATCCCATTTAACTTTAAGTGGGTTAATATAATTTTAAAGCCCAAACTCTGGTTGTAAACAGATACGATATGATTATATTAAAATAGCATATGCGTGGCTTTATGACTCTTTAGGAAAAAGGGAAATCATTTTATTGTTCTTTCAAACAGCTTTTTTGTTTATAAACTGAGGAAATTATGGATGTGTACTCTAAATAGCTGGTATTTCCCCAAAGTTATCAATTTGATCTTTTGTACTCAGAAGTTCATTACATTATGAATGAAAATCCAAACAATACAGAAGTATTTATCTATCTCAGATTTCAAAATATAAGCTCAAATGAAATACTGTGTTCATGCGTGAACTGTGCACTGGATGAAGTTGGCCTTCATGTGTAAGCCTCACATTGAACAAGAGGGACTCATGGCATGCAAATGTAAATGCCACTTTATTTTTGTCTTCCCTTCTCCCTTTAACCTTTTCAGTGAGGGTGGCTCATCTTTTGCCCTTGGATTAAAATTCAGGGAACTCCACAACTTTTCTATACGTTCTTAGGTAGTAAAGACTCTAGCTCACCCACTTTGCTCATGTTGTCAGAAAGGTCCAGCCCCTGGAGAAGGATATGCTTGGTGAATGGAGGGTCAGAGAAAAAGGGGAAGACCCTCAAAGCCATGGATTGACACAGTAGCTGGAACAATAGGCTCAAACATAGTGAGGATTGGGAGGATGGTGCAGGACCAGGCAGTGTTTCATTCTGTTGTACATAAGGTCGCTGTTAGTTGGAGCTGACTTCATGGCACCCAATAACAAAAATTAAGAAATCTGTTCAAATTGCAAACACAGTCTTAATCTGAAACTAAAAACTTTCAGTCCTTGATAAATCTTCACCCATTCCCAATTGAGGCTGCTTAAGGTTGATGGTTGTGGTGGGGGAGGAACAGATGGTCTTCCTCTGGTGGCCCAACTTCTTCCACTCTTGGTTCTCATCCTACCAAGCTCAGTTTCAGATGTGTCCAGTGGGTGGAGAGAAGAGGTAAGGGGTGGCAGCAAAGTTTTTCCTTGACTGGCACTGTCGTAGCTGGCTGACCTTGCCTTCTGGGACTCACTCTTTTGTGAGCACTCTAGTGAGGTCTCCAGAGATGGCCTCTGAGGACATCTGGCTGCACATTCCATGGATATGCCTTGTCTTCCCAGTGGCCATTTCTTTCAACCTCTGTACTTTTTGTAGTTACACCACACCAGCTCACTCTGTTCTACCACCTCTTGTGGTTCTAAGTGTGGTTTTAAATGGCTCCAGGGTGGTTCTCTCTTCAGTGGATCCCTCACCTGGATCTCTGGAAACACTTATAGATCTTGTTCCTGCCATCTAGGGATGTGTCATTAGCTCTGAGTTCAGCCTAGTTTCTCTCTTTCTGCCTCTTGCCTGTTGCGTTTAGATTTCTTGGGGGAGGTTCATATACCAGTCCATCTTGCCCCTAGATTCTAGGAGACATGTACCAGGCTCTTGAGGTGGTTGAGTCAGAGACCTTATTTCTTGACTAGAGTGACTAACTATCGTATTTTGCCTGCAATTTTCTTAGGTTTTAGCATTAGAAATCTGGCATCCTGGGAAAACCTTCAGTCTTGGGAAAACTAGAATGGTTGATCATGTGCTCTCCCTTTTTTAAAAAAATTATACATGTTTTTTAAAGTTTAACTTTTTGTGAAAATATACACAGCAATGGATATACAGTTTCAACAAATTCTACATGTATAGTTCAATTGTATTGTTTACATTCTTCAAATTGTGTGCCCATTCTCACTGTCCCTTCCCAAATGATTCTACCATCATCGGCATATAGTGACTGCCCCGGAAATGTCTTGTCTAACTTTCTGAGATACTGTTGTCAGTTCGATCCCATGTAGATAAGTCTTTGAAAGAGCACAATGCTTAGGCAGATACACTTTACTAATTAAGCTAAACTGTTGTTTGGTCAAAGCAGACTTCTGGGAAAAAAAGTTGTTTTTAGGTTTAAGGCTTAAAGGTTATCTCAGGACAGTAGGTACGGGTGTTCCTCCAGCCCCAATGGCTCCAGATGATCTGGATTTCACAGAGTTCCATTTCTTTCCCTCTCCCTTGATCACTGTTTCTCTACTGAGTTGTAAATCAAAATGTTCAATAATGGTAGCTGTCCACCATCTGGTTCTTCTGTGTCATGACACAGAAGAAAGATGTTCACAGTGATCACCCTGTTCTTGCCCTGTGGTCAAAGTGGAGACACTCCACATCCCTACCCTTTGCACAGACAGCCATTTTCGCAGAATCTTTCCTCATCCTATACTCTTTGATCTGTTTAGATTTTCATGTGGATGAGATGTCTGATCAGCTCAAGGTACTGATTGAAATTTCTGTAGGATTTTTTCTTTTTTAACTTTGAAACTCTTTTTTTTTTTTTTTTTTTGGTATCTACCATATCTTGGTGCCTTTGTTGAAACTTCTAGTCTAATATTGTATTAAATGTGAGATCCAGGTGATGGTAGTCAGGACCCAAGTTTGAATGAGTTAGAGCTCTCCAGCTTACTTTATTGGAGAAATACACGGTCCAAGCCTAGTCAGAAATCTCTAACTCAACACCATGGGGAGAAAGAGCGTTGCAGGGAGGATTCTTTCAAGAGGATCTAATTTCAGGATTATAGGATTCAACTTCAGGTCCACCCTCCCCAATTCATTCCTTAACACCTCCTCCCACCCCAATCTTCGTTGAGCTACCAATTCATTTGGAGATCTAAGCTTTCTTGGGCATATAAGAACACAGTGGGATAGCTCTGAGCATACTCTGGGTACTTGACTGAGCTACTGAATGAGCTACATCCTTTGATAACAAACAATGGTCTTTCATATAATAAGAGTAACGATAGGATGTGTTTTCAGAATTAGTATTTTTATACACTTTTCTAGAACCTCAACATGCAGTAAGTCATTTAATCCTCACAGTAATTCCAGATGAAATATTGGAGTAGTAGTATTCTCATTTTTTTAGGTGAGAAAACTGAGACAGAAAGAGATTAGATAACTTGCCTAGGAACACATGGCTAAGAAATGTAGTCTCAGGTTGATGTCTGGGAAGTGTGACTCCAGATCCAACACCATTGATCATGATGCTGTCCTGTCTCTGTGAAGTTGTGACTACGTAGTCTGCTCTGCTGATGGTGACAGAGGAGGGGCAGCATGGAGAAGTGGGGGTCGTGAGTTGGTGTCAGAGTTGGTGTCTGGTATTGCCTTGGCCACCTGTTAGCTATGTGGTCTGGGACAGGTCACAGCTACCTTTAGGGTGGTTGTAATTTTAATAATGTAGACAAGGTATCCAACAGAAGGCTTGGCACACAGCACATGCCGAGTGTATGATTTCTCCTCTCCCACCTTTTTCTCACTGCCCCTTTGAACATCTGCAGGTAAACCAATTGCCATTATGCCAGTTCCTTCTCATGGTGACCCTACATCTATCAGAGTAGATTTGTGCTTCGTAGGGTTTCAGTGGCTGATTTTCTGGAAGTGTGTCACCAGGCCTTTCTTCTGAGGTGCTGGTGGGTGACTCGAGCTTCCAACATTTCAGTTAGCAGCTGAGCACATTAACATTTTGCACAACCCAAGAACTCCTTCCATTGCAGATGGAGACCAGTTTTGTAGGTTTAGCAAGCATCTGGCCTAGATCAAACTCTCTCCTCCTGCTCCCCCATCCTTGTTTATTCCTGGAGCAAATAGTTTTAAAAGGAACCTTTAAGCTGGAGTCAAGCAGATCCTTTTTGATCACTTCAGGGCTCTGGTTATTGATTACCTAAGTTATGGACTCATCTGGGGCACATGGACACATTAGCAATGACGATATTTTAACAATAAAACTTCTTTCCAAGAGGTGATCAATGTGGACTATAAATAGCATTTGTGAAACTCAAATTGTTTGCATTTATAGGACAACTCGGCCCCTCAGGAGGGACAAATCTTGCTTCTGGAAAGATTAAAAAACCCAAGGTGTTTGTGACTGAGGGAAAAGATGTTGCTCTCACTGGAGTATGTGTGTTCTTCATCAGGACAGACCCTTCCAAAGTGATCACCCCTGAGAACATCCACCGGGTAAGGAGCAAAATCTATTGTATATGGAATTACTGAAAATCACATTGTAACAAAATCAAGTTGTGCAGAAGTCATCCCTCATTGTGGAGACCACCATGGTATACACCATAATATCTAAAACTACT